CCTATAGATCCGCTACTGGATTACGAATACATATGTTTCATCTATTATCACTCAGTTGCACAAAATCACCATGACAAGTAAGTCATATAGAAACCTGACTATAGGGACGATTTAACTTTTAAAAAAAATCTGGTCACACAGTGAAATCTATTCGTTTTGTTATAATCATAATGGTTTTTCAAAGTTGGACACAGAAACTGACTTGAGCAGGATTGAACCTGCGACCTAATTTCATTAAAACTAAATAAATATACTACAGAAAAATCTAATAAGGAAAGTTATCAATGTGTTATACAACATTATAATCCATTTATGTGCGGCAGAACTGGGCGGGACCAATATGGCAAGGTCAAATGGGCGAACATTGGAAGTCATTTCTTCATTTTCTTATGACGCACGTGTTAGCTTGCAATAGATCAAACGCGCACATTAAGACGAGCCAGCAACTAAAAAGTTCAAGGATCTTTCGCAAAAGGTTAACATTCATTTCCTTGTGACGCATGTGTTTTGACACTGGCTCACAGTTACCCTATGTATGACGATCCTGTAACGAACATGCATGTTCAAGACGTTCTTCCAAAATAGACTTAACCTCTGACATTATCTGGGCAATATCTCAAACATCTGGTAGTGACATTGCTGTGTAGAGTACCAATGCACCAAATTGCTCACGTAGGGAGCTAGGGCGAAAACAAGTCCCGGCTTCAAACATTCATTTCCTTGTGACGGATATGTTTTGACACTGGCTTTCTGGTTCATAGTTACCCTCATGTTTGACGAGCCTGTAACTAACATGCATGTTCAAGACGTTCATCCAAAACAGACTTAACCTTTGACATTGTCTGGGCAATATATTAAACATCGGGTAGTGACATTGCTGTGTAGAGTACCAATTAGGCACTAAATTGCTCACGTAGGGAGCTAGGGCGGAGCCGAAAACAAGTCCCGGCCTAGACATTCATTTCCCTATGACGGACATGTTTTGACACTGGCTTTCTGGTTCATAGTTACCCTCATGTTTGACGAGCCTGTAACTAACATCCATGTTCAAGACGTTCATCCAAAACAGACTTAACCTTGAAATGTTCTGGGCAATATATCAAAAATATCTGGCAGTGACAATGCAGCAACATGTGGTTGCAGAGCAGTAAGTAGGCCCCAGATCAGTTGCCCCCTTTATTCAATTCAATTCAAACACATTTATGTCCTGTTCATGACAGAAATGGAAAATAATATAAGTATTGAACAGGATATAAAGGCGGCTAGAGGTGGCAAAACCTTGAAAGCATAGCTTGTATCAGGCACGCCATTATCACGATTTGTTATATACTGCCAATGGGGGGGGGGGGGGGGGGGGGGGTCATCAGCAAATCAATGCTATAATGTAGACAGGTTTTTTCCTCTGGACACATTATTGGCCTCCGTAAACTTTCCATGGAGGCGCTGTTTAAATGCGATGATACCCCCGTATCCCAGCTGGCTCAGTCCGAATGTTGTGCACAAGCGGACATTATTACCGGTATATAGTCACAGAGTAGGGGGGGGGAGGGTACATTATTAATAATATATTTCTATGCAAAACATAAAATGTGAGTCAGAGCTGGGGTCCCCCCCCCATCGGCATGACATTGGGTGACTTTTCATGTAACGTTTATCAGGGGTCAATGAATATGGTATCAAAAGCAATTCTGTGCGATGGTCATGGTTGGGATTGCAACCGATTTAAAAAAAAAAGGTAATCAATTAATTTTGGTCCGTTTTGTAGTCCCAGAGGGTCAACCTACTATCTTCTTTGTGCTTGACTCACTGTCTCTCACTTGTGAAATAGACTTGCATAAGTCTCACCTTGGTCCCAAAAAATTACTCTGCTGGTCCCAGAGGGCCTGACTACGGTCTTCTTTGTACCTAACACACTGACTGACCCACTCACTGACCCAAATTGTTCAACTAGTAGTTCACAGAGACACCAAAGTCACAATTTGTATGCTGTATTCACGTACGGTTATTGCATTAGAAAGAAAGTAAATAATCAATATTATAAAACAAATAAAATCATAAGAATCCACCTGGGGGTCCGACTATGACAAGGCAAGGAGGCCTCTTAATTGTGTCCAGTTAATTATTTTTCTTTTTATTTCGGTATTATGATAATCAAGCAAATAACAAGTGCAGTTATCAAGTAAATGAAAATCTAATAAATGTTACTTCTAGATAAAAAGACGATTATGGCAAATATTATACATGGCACAAATAAAACGACAATTATTAAGTTTATCAACCATAGTATCAGTGACAAAGTTTCTTCACCGTCACGTATTCTACCTCAAACGCAACATCGTAGCTTTTCCTGAAATAAAAATTAAAGTTGATCGGTGTATCAGAGTATAAGAGAGTCCACAATTTTCACCCTCACTGCTTATCCACTGTGCTTTAACTTTTCGTTCCCCGATTTCATTTGAACGTATTTATATCAATGGACTCATTCTACTATGAGTAGCTGACTTTGAAAATGTCCAAAATGGATGCAATAATTGATTATCGATTCCACTCCTGTTCCGTTTTTCGGGTGGTCTTTTGTGTAGTTTTTTGGTGTTTTCTTATTATCATTTTGTATATATATATTTTTCAAACAAACAAAGAGACTATGATTGTTGCATGCTTTTTATGCGTATTGTATATGCTGCACACGAACATACATTGACAACAAGAAAGCTTCTGCCTCTGACTCAAAACTACATCTAGCCAGTACGCACTGTTAACATTGACTGGTGTCATAGATTACGCAGTCATTAATATACTGTACAATGCCAAGAGAAGCGAGGTACCACTCTCCATATAATGTATTTACAGCATGTACGGGTTATAGGCCCAGGCCAGTCACGTGACTATAGAAGAAGTCGACCAGCAGTTCACGAGGGGCGCTTTGATGGTCCGAAATACCATGGAAGAAATAGTGTCCCTTTGCAAGGACATGAGTGTGTATGATGATGTATGGTGTCCTATCACTCCTGATTGCTTAGCTTTCGTCACTTGTTGGTTGTTACGGGGTTTTCTGCAGTAATACAAAATCGAGAAACACAAAAACTTTGCATCTAAGGTTGTTGAAGAATACTGAAAAAATCAAAACAATTTTCAATAAAAAAACTTGAGTCCTGACAGAAACCTTGATCTACAATCATGAGACCGTAGCACAGAAGTCAATAAAATATTCTTTCTGAACGATTTTCCAGATGCGCAGACGTAAATGAAATAAACAATCTGGACTTTTTCAAGAAACCCATGCAAATATTGATTAAGGCAGCAACCGATTATTGCTAGGCCACCAATAACTTGAACACACATTTGTACTATTCGAGTTTTTATTCATTCGGATGAATGCACAATGATAGTTTTGACTATCAAATTTGATGGAGTGTTAGTTCTTGCATGACGCAAGAACATGTTCTTGCATGACGCAAGAACATGTCCATCTTTCTAATAATAGGAATACGCGGAGTATTTTCTATGATGATTTGAATCATTGACAAGGTTGTATAGGTTTTGTTACACTGCCCTCATTGTTCGCTTACCATCACTACAGATCACTCCAGCATCGTGTGAGTGGCTACAACTTGTCTCTTCCCAGCAGTGGGAAGGGCAGTCGGTAATTTTCTCTTCGGATCCTTCGCACGCTACGCCGTCCAAATGGACGGGTCCGCTACCCTGCCCGAAGTGGGCAGCGGACTTGGCCTCCAGTGCGCCTGAAAAACCGAGCTGTCGGCAGACAATCCCCGCATCGGTGACGTTCCAATTTGTATCACAGATGGTGCCCCAGCTGCCGCCACGGTATATCTCCACTCGGCCGCTGGTGCGAGATCCGCCGACCAACCGAAGCTCATCTGATCATTTCACAATAAAGACATCATCTCAATTTAGAAAACAAGACGAGTTACAGTCTGACGCCTACACTGTGGAGTGGTGTAATGAAAAAAGGGCGGATAGGTAGCCCGCCCTCATGGTTAGTAGACCTCCCAATCCCCTCTTCAGCTGGAAATACATGCTGATAAAAATATGTCACGTAGCGATCAGAATCAAATTACCTGTCTGTCAGTGACAGTGCCCCAAAGAACCCATAGGCCTACTGAGGACATCAAGTTGGCCTATATTCAAGAATCGTTCCCCGTGCTATTAACAAGTTTTATCCAAAAAAATAGATTCATTTTCTAAGTTATTGCTATTTTTTTCTATAGCAATACGAAAGTTATTCACTTTTGAATGGGACATTGAGCGAAAAATCAGCCCGTTTAGTTGTTGAATAATTATTACTTAACAGTTCCGAATTATTTGCTTCCAGACAATAATTCTATTCTCGCGGGTAGGCTGGTCCCCGCCCCACAATAAGCCTCTGTACTAATGACGTCATACTTTGTTTACATGATATCCTATGTTGCTTAGTGGACCGTGGGCCCCCACTGCCTCCATAGGAAAGTGCACATGTAAACAAAGTGTGACGTCATTAGTAGCACAGAGGCTTATTAGTATCGATAATGTACGGACCGGGAGCCAGTCTACTCGCAAAGTGGGTCTGTTGTGCCCAATTTTTTTCTTCTTCAGAGGGTTGCAGACGTCCAAAATTGAAAATTTTAGGTTGGAAGAAAACATACAAGTTGTAAATTTATAAATAGGAAAAAAATTAATATGTTGAAGAGCAAGGGGAAATCAACCTTAAAAGAATAATGGTCCAAATAATCAGTATTGGGAGGCACAAGTAAGTTTTTGAATTCCTATTTTTGAATGCCTATTTAGTGGGTGTAAGAGATAACAATAATTGTTTCAGATTTTTCATTGAGTTCATCAGTATATTTTTCCTATACTCATTAGGGAAGTGCTTTTGTTTGAAGAATGTGTTTCAGGGTTGAGTACCTCCTTATGTGACTTTTATCATCAGAGAACGCTGAAATATCATAAATACCTGGAGATGATTTGATAACACAAAATTCACTTGTGTAATAAGCTGAGGTTTAAGACACAAAGTCGGATGTGAATGACATGTCATGGAAACTAAAGAGGGCGGAGTATTTCTTACCAGGTCGTGGTTTACAAACGACTCCTGCTACAGTTGAGCTGCTGCATTGCTGAGAGCCGGTACAGACAAACGGACAGTCAGCCAGCCGTCGTTCAGTTCCAGTACAGGCGACTCGATTCATCACGATCGGCCGGTCACTCTCTCGGCTGGACAACCCCGTTTTAGCCTCCAGAGCCTCGATGAAGCCGAGCTGATGACACACGGTGGTGGCGTCCTTCATATCCCAACTGCTATCGCAGACTGCACCCCAAGCATGATGGCGGTAGATTTCCACTTGGCCGCTCCATTTGTCATCACCGCCAACCAATCGAATCATGCCGCTAGTGACTGTTGAGATCGAGAATTAGTTTCTTTCAGAATTAGTTCTTGAATGACACGTGTGTTCAGATTTGGAACAACAATCAGACGTAGGTCTAACTCTTGATAATAATGAGTATTGTAAGTTTCAACTCTTTCATAAGGTTCACTTCTTAGCTGGCTGTTTGTGAACGACCAGCCTCTATAATCGAACTATAATTTGAACACAAAAACGCGCAAAAGATGCTTGTGCAAATACATATCATTCGTTTAACTTTATCCTAACTTGAGGTGCCAATTACATGGCTCAAATCGTTTAATCTGACGGATTCTCCCTTCCAATGATGACTGTTGTCTGACAATGATAATTCCTTCATGTTTACATCTAGGCAATTCAACTCAGATATCCCACTCAATCGGCAATGTGAAGGTCATTATCCAATTTGTGATCCAACCCATCGTTTCATATGATTTGTACTGGGCATTGTCAGGATGCAACAGAGCTGGACCAACACGTGTCATCAATCAGAAAAGAAACGAATAAACACACCCAGCAAGTGATATCAGCTGACAACACCATCATCCCAACTCCCAACCCTCCAACGTTCATTACCTGGATACTGACACAGGTTTATGAGGATCAAAGCAACCAACGCTGTGCAAAAGCAACGGTGTTAGATTTAACACCGATGGTGTTAAATATTCACACCGTACCTTTTTACAGTGTAGACGACCTGAAATAACTTAAAGAAAACAGTCAAATACCAGCATGATCGTTCGGCCTGCATCTTCATCAATGTTACACTGAATGAGTTCAACATAACTATAGATATGAATTGTATTAATACAACTTCCCCCGGGTTCTAATCACTGCTCATCAAAACATGAATCGCAAGTCAGTGCTCGCAATTGGTTATTACAGTGTTACAATTTCCCAAGACCTTTAAATCTAACCCATTTATGTGTAACATTTACACCAAATGACAAGTGGTATCATCGCCTTTCTACATGTGACGTCATTTAGCATTTTTAAATTGGCCCACATTACCTCGACATCCGAGCACTTCAAATCTCAGACAATAATGATCTTGGCTAGTCCATGTGAGTGGAAGTATGCGGAGGAATCTTGCCATCAGTACCACGGGGAACGTCACATTCAAAGGTGGTCCACTACCACTGTGCCCATTCAACTGGAAAAACAACAACGAAATGCACATAATTATCGATAATTCAGAGATTTCGTTACGTCTGGCTTCTTTGCTATATAAAAACCTGCCCCGATGCAATATAGATGCGAAACAATTGTTGGCGGCACTATATCCATATAACATGAATGTCAACAACAAACAGTGTATATGGATCTGATACCTTGGATGTACATGGATCTGATACCTTGGGAGAACGAGGATCTTTTTCAGAATGACTTTTGATGTGGGAACAAACTCACTTGATATAATTTTTAAGGAATTGGTTTAATGTCACTTCCTCTTCCAAGCCTGAGTTGTAGGCGTGAAGAAACAGTATTAAACGAGCCTAGTAAAGCTGGTCCTAGATCAATTTTGGTTTAAGGTGTCTACGTCAGTGGCGTCGCCAAGGGGGGGGGCCAGGGGGGGCACGTGCTGGAAAACCTAGTGCCCCCCGAGTGCCCCCCATCTGAGATTTGGGTTGGTAAAAATATATATATATGTTGTTATATTCAACTCCCATCATCTGAGTTGGTTAAATAGCAATTTCTGGAGATATCTTCAGATCGAATTTAGCATCAAATGTGGCACCATTTTGCATCTAGCCCATCCTCCGTATGCGAAAATTTTCCAAAGGGGAGGGGGGCACTCCCCTTAGACCCCTCCCCAGGACGGCGATCCGTATCCACCTAAGTGCCCCCCATCAAATTCTGGTGCCCCCCCCCCCCGTAGACTGAAAAGTCTGGTGACGCCACTGGTCTACGTAGTCATCGTATAGTCACAGTTGCGGGCGTGAGTGAGACTTATGCAAGTGTAATTCACAAGTAACAGTCAGTCAGTCAGTGAGGTAAAAATAGGACTATCGGCTGTTCATTCTGGGACCAGCAAAAATAATGAACAATGCAAGGACTTGACAATGAGGGCATTGGTGGGAATCCCGAGGCGGGGGACATGCAGGCTACACTGCAGAAACTATGTTTATCAATTAAACACTTTTCTAAATACTTTCTTGCTCTCAGTTTGTAAACGTGTCTAACATGTCTACATACTAAACATGTTTAGAGCATTCGTCGTCGTTCGTACGACGCTTCCATATCTAAATCACACGGGAATGTCCAATTCTTGCAGCCACTTGGCTGTATCTTCCTCTAGTTCAATCAGGCCGGTGGGACCGTGAGGGCCGGGGCTTGAAGATTGGGCAGGCTTGCGTGATGTGTTCTATGGTCTGTGGTAACCCACTACGGCAGGTGTCATCGTCACAAGCACTTAAGGAAGGAGCGGCTCTTTCCCCACCCTGTGCGGAGGCGGTTCAGGTGGATCCCTACAGAGCATTGATGGATAGTGCTTATCGCGAATTGAGCTTTCAAACATGGTTCGAAACAGTTTTTAGAGTTTAGTATCCCATTGCTACGGATTTTCACCTGTTATCTATGAGTTCCGATTGTGTGACGTCAAAGATCATCCGATTGTCCCCTGATGGGCCACCATTGTAGTAATGGTTGCATTGCAGGCGACTTAAAATGCCATACTTTCAGAATCTGCCACTATGGACTCGGCGTCCTCCATGTCGTTACAGTGCTGCAGACGGTGGCGGAAGGCGCGTGCTGCAACTGAAGGCTTCTGAAGGATTGAGGAGGTGTGCAATGGCATGAGTAGCCTTTAGTCAAGGCGCGCGTGTCTACCTGGACGCGTGGTGCCCCAGATTCTGGCACGAAAAAAGACCAGTCGAGTGGCGAAGCCACCTCGCGGCTTCGTCGCTCGTGCTATAGTCTTTTTACGTGCCAGCATCCAGGGTGCAGGTGCGTTACGTGTCCGGATAGGCGCGCGGGACTTGACATTCCTTCAGAAGCATTCGGCGGCAGCACGCGCCTACCACCACCGTCTCCAGCGCTGTACGTCATTGCTGAAACTCGCTCCATAAAATTGTCACGCCTTGCTTACATGATCTGAAAGTTTGGTTTAATTCCACAGGTAAACAGTATAGTTGAATACGATTCAAAGTTGGACTTTTTGACACGTAGGAGTACCTGTGCCGTGTACGTTTGTCAAAATCGTGAAGACATAGCACTCGGTATTCACGCAACATTTCCTAACGTTGTTTGTTATTAATCGTTATGCATATTTTTAAACGGTGACGCAAACGTGTTGATTCAACTTCCAATCGTCGTTGCATATTTCAAACACCTACTTAACTTTTCAAAAACCAGCAAAATGTATGCGTTAATTGACGAAACTGTTGCGTCATTTTATAATTAAAAAAAAAAACATTATTCTTTTGTGTTATTCTTGGCACGACCGGGCTTCCATATACGATTTGGCTTCTGATTATAGAGAATGCTATTATAACAAGATCCACACGGGATCCTAGGCTCACCTGTACGGTCTGTCCTCTGTCAGTTAGTTTCTGCCAATCATTGGACTCGCCGGTATTACTGGAGTTTACAGCAAAGGTTCGGATATAATAGCCTCCCGGCCATCCCTGTACGATGACCCCCGTGATGGCCGTGTACTGACCGAGGTCTACCTGGATCCATTGACCCTCGCGCTTTCCAAACGGGCATACCCACCAACCAGTACCTGTGGGGAATACAACAAAACACCATGGCATTCAAATATGTAGAACCAAATCCTACAGGGTTTCCGTAATAGAAATACAACCGTTACGAAAACTGTGATTATAGCAAAAAATTAGTATTGTAAGTTACGCCAGTACACAGGCTTTGATTATTTTGATGTCATTCCTGTTCTGAATAATTGAGTAACTCTTTGTTTATTATGAAGGACCCCAAGTGTCCGTTGTTACACGTTAAATGAGGAGAATGAGGTTTTGCCGGTGGCTGCTCGCAAGGCCTACACGATTCTTGAACGCTTCATAATTAGCGATGAGACATGATTTTCATAGAGGAAAACATACAAAGTGATTTTACTTGCAGAGATAAATAATCAGGTTTATCTGTCCTGGCATCAAATTTCCATTGTTTGATCGGAGAAAATTTCAGAAGGGGCGTAAATCCTGGGGGGGGGGGGGTATATATCCCCCCACTTTTTGACCGGGGGGGGGATGGCCTATTGAATCATCAACCCTCTTGTCCGTTATGAGAAAAAAAATATGCGGATGTCGAGGTATTTGTCGAACATCCCAACAACCAAAATGTATTCAATAGCACTGAAAGTGGAGAAACAAAATACAAAAGCTTTTTAAATGCGCCGTTTTCATATAAGTGCGAGTAAACATATTGATATTATATTCTGAAGAACGCCTCCTAGTATAACTTGGCACCGTTTTGATGTAAGCGCGAGTATACATATTGATATATTTCCTGAAGAGCGCCCTCTAGTGTAATGTGGTGTCCAGTTCAGTAATTAGGCCTATTATGTTTGTGAAATCAATGTTTTGGGTTTCTACTTTTCATTTCTTTAACATGTAACAATTCACATCTGAATTCCCCAGGATAAAGAAAGATTACTCAGTCATCCAGATTAGGAATGACTTGCTACAGCCATCACATCAAGGCCTGTGTACTGGCGCAACTTCTAGTACCAAATTGCATCATTGCCATTTGGAGGTCGTTTATAATCACAGTTATGCATACTGTTCCGTTTTTTGCGGAGCCTGGAGAATCAGTGACAGGAATTCACGCCAGAGACTTGAGTTAGTGATGTTGATTTTGTTTTAATGACAGTAAACCAGTGACGTTTTTTTGTTTTTCCCCAGCTGGGGCATGAGAACACTAGTGTAATGTTTAATACAAAACAAGTAAAAATATCAATCGTAACACGGACAGAGTGATAGAATCGATTTTTGGTCAAGTTTATGGTGAATGCATCGACTACTCTGGCGACAAC